AATAATAATAATAATAATAATAATAATAATAATAATAATAATAATAATAATAATATTCTATTCTGAGAAAATATTGTTGCTAAAATAACAACTATTCCAATATTATAAGTGGATATATGCATAAAACTGTACTCTATTCCTTTACTCATTTATAATTAATTATAGACCCATGAATATAAACTGTTCTCTTCTAGTAGTCCCAGCAGCATTTCATTTTACCTGTAAAAAAGGTGACTAAATATTGAATGAGATACATAATAGGAAAGTGGGCTATATAGAAAAGTGGGATTTTGAATAATGTGGAGATCCATATTCGGCATAATGCTTCTGTCCAAATTTCCAGCATGTTCACCTGATTTACCCACCTCATCCTCATAACAGGGATGCAGAAAATATCTGCTAATAAAAAGTTAGTAAATAATGAAAAAAGTAGTTACATTTATTTATTGAATAAGTGGCTGTTAAATTATTTTAAGGTTATGCTCTTTTAAGTGGAAATTTTAAAAAATTACAATTAAAAACTAATGCAAACCTACAAAAGAAAATATGCAAAGTATAGAAAAGAAAGAAAATGAAAACGAGTTCATTTCTTCCTTATTTTCATTTTCTTATCTATACTTTTTAAATTTTCTTTTAAAAGGCTCCACTGTTAAAATTGGAGCCAATGATCACAGCAGAATGTAGAGCTGGCAAGTAGACCTGCATGCAACAGGTTTCCATGTACTGGTGATTCTTACAGCTGGTTAAGGTTTTTATGTGCCAGTGGACTTTGTGGCCTGTGCTGGGCCTCCTAGAGATTTTGTCCACCTTCTGAGATATTCCTGCATGCTTTACCTCAGATTTTGTCTGCTTAATGACCATGAAACAAGGCGTGTCGAATGTGTGAAATCTAGCTCAATGACCACTTTGCTAGGACTATGTATTTGAAGGGACTAAAGATCAAAATTATTAAAAGGAAAGAATATGATTTGGTTTATTTAATCAAGGTTAAAATAGATATGTTAATCTGCGATGATGTTTAATAGAGTTTTGCTGAACAGGATTGAATGACAAGATTTTAAGGATTTGTTTATAGATAAGATATGAGATATGGGAAAAAGAGAGAAGGTGATAAGTTACTAAAACATGCTATACTTGTGATGAAGAGGAAAGTTATTTGTTCATATATTTCTTTTTCTTATGTTTCTTTTCATTTAAGCTTTTTAAATTTTATTTATTTGTATAAACCACACTTTTATTTAGGGCACTGGACTTGAAAGCAATATAACATTGATTGCAAATCTGTAGTTCAGTTGAACAACATACGCCACCCAGAGTTGTTTCAATACAAGATGAGCAGCAATAAATTTAATAGATAAATAAATAAAAAATAAAATAAATAAAAATTGACCAGATCAAAGGATTTAAAATATTCAACCAAGTGAAAATATAATAGCTGTAAGCACTTGGGCAGATTAAAAAAAAAATACTACTTAGAGCAGACCTGGGCATTTTATGCCCCCCGGCCACATCCGGCCCTGTCCAGCCCATGTAGGTTCAATCAGAAATTAGAAATCAAATGTAAATAAGGAACTGTAGAGTGTAGGAGAAGATGCTGAGTTGAGTCCGGCTTTGCACAGTCGCTGTGCTCTCCCCTTGCCTGGAGTGGCCTGAGGAAGTGGTGGCGTCATTGCATGATGGGCTATCCACTGCCACCTGAGTCAATGCGCGGTCTTATAGGTGAGTGGATGGAATGCAGCTGGGAGCTAGCAAATGGGTAGCAGCGGCAGCAGAGTGGTGGCCATGGTCTCCAACAGAGTGGAAAGAATTAGTGCCCCATGACCACCCCAGGATGGGGAAAAGTTGCCTGTTCCTTCTTTAGGACTCTAAGATATGACTAGCACTTTGACTTGGGCTCATGAATGAAAAGTCAGCCTGTTTAATAATGACATTGGAGTTTACACTATAAATGATGTAATATTCTATATATCTGTATTTTTGCTTCTTAAAAATATTGTTTACATTTTTAGGTCATCCAAGTCTCATCCAGGACCTGTTGTACATATTAGTGACAATCCAATGGATGAAGGCAAGGTATGTTTAAAAAAAACACTAAACCAAAAACATTAAACCAAACCTAAATTATATTGAAGAAGATTGTGCTTTAGCACTAAAGTATGACATGTGCTTTATTGGGTGGCCCAGGAATCACTTTACATATATCAAGCATTAGAACAATGTATTTTTTGCAATTATATCCCCAATGGCTATTTAAAAGCTTGTCTACTGACTATTCATAATTATAATTTTGACATGTTATGCTTCTAAAAGAAATAAATGAAAACTTTAGTAAATGCTCATATGTTTACTTTAGAATGTGTTTGTATTATTGCAAGCAATTACCAAAACATTTGGTTAATTTTTAAAACATTAAATTATTTTTATTACTTTAATACATCAAAAAATCCAAATATAGCATATAGCAAAAACACAAGAAAACAAAAACATGCTGTAATGCATATAACTACTGTAGTTATGAAACACCGTACAGGTAGACCTCAACTTGCAACAGTTTACTTAATGACCGTTTGAAGTTACAACAGCACTGAGAAAAGTGACTTATGACCATTTTTCACAATTAGAATCATTGCAGCATCCCCGTGGTCACGTAATTTACATTTGGATGCTTGACAGCTGACTCACATTTATGATGGTTGCAGTGTCTTAGGGTCATGTGATCACTTTCTGCAATCTTCTGACATGCAAAGTCAACGGGAAACCAGATTCATTTAACAACCGTGTTGCTAATTTAACAATTACAGTGATTCACTTAACATAAAATGTGGCAAAACCCACTTAACAAATTTCTCACTTAACAACATAAATTTTGGGCTCAATTATGATTAGAAGTTGATGACTACCTGTATTACATTCTGGATCACACAGACTATAAATCCATGGATATTCATAAAATGATAAATTCAAATGAATCAATGAACATTGATATGATATAAATATCTTGCTCTTTTCCAAACTATATTTACAAAGTAATGAAATTAAATAATGAAAATTGGGCAACAGTGGATTAAATTGATGGTATGTACATAAATGGTCCCACCTCTCACCAACCATTGCCTACTTTGAACATAGTGAAATTGACAGCCAACCTTTATAAAATTCTTGGGTGAACTGGTGAGAAAATCTGTTGTTGTGTACCCTCAAGTCATTCACTCTCAATAACCACAGAGATCAGATTTTTCAGCATGTTGTTGAATTAGTCTCTTCTAAAGAATGTCTTTAAAACATTTAACTATTGATACTGATAGGGGTTTTCAGTACTTTATTTCAAAGTTTGTAAATAAAAAGCATCTACCTTGACAACATTCTTTATCTACTAAAACACTATTTAGAATATTCCAAAATATAGTTTAATAATAATAATTGTTAATAATCAGTTTCTGATATTGCTAAGGCATTTAGATCAAATTGTAAAATCAGCATGTTTTACTTGAATATACTCCCATTCTGTTTTAGATAATGCAGATTCTTTCTAAAGAAATGTAAATAATGCATGCCAATGATAAGACTGAAGGTCAAGAAAAGTAATCCATTTCATCATATAATAGCCATAATTGGGATGAATAAAATCTAGGTGAAGCATAGGTTATGCTTCACATTTAAAATATTTTAAATAATTTATCAGTTTGCTTGATATACTCTGAAAGTACAACAATGGATATTTTTCTAACAGTGGTGGGTTCTGGATCCCGTTGCAACCAGTACGGTGCAATGGGGCCTGGCATCTCCCACATGCATGCATGCACATGCACGCAGCAAGCACGTGTGTGCGCATGCATCCTTACCTCCACGAAGCCTCTGTGACACTCCAGCTGCTCGGTGGAGCATCACACAGGCACTGTACACTCCATGCATGGAAGCACCAAAGAGCTCAAATACAGGTGAGCGCGGGCTTTCAGGTGGGGCCTCCGGAGCACCGGATTACTGTAACGCTCTCTACATGGGGCTGCCCTTGAAGAGCACCCAGAGGCTTCAACTGGTCCAGAATGCGGCTGTGCGGGTTATCATGGTGGCACCTAGGTACTCCCATGTTGCACCCCTTTTAGGCGGCCTGCACTGGTTGCCGGTTGTCTTCCGGGTGCGATTCAAGGTACTAATTATGACCTTTAAAGCGCTCCATGACTTAGGACCAGGGTACCTGCGAGACCACCTACT